CATAAAAGCCATATACGAAAAACCCACAGCTAATATCATCCTCAATGGGGAAAAACTGAGAGCTTTCCCCCTAAGGTCAGGAACATGACAAGGATGTCCACTCACACCACATATGTTGGAAGTTCTAGCCTCATCAACCAGACAACAAAATGAAGTAAAAGGCTTCCAAATCAGCAAGGAGGAAGTCAAACTCTCACTCTTCACAGACAACATGATACTCTATGTGGAAAACCCAAAAGACTCCACAAAAAAAAAAACCCTGCTAGAACTGATCAGCAATGTCCCAAGATATAAAATCAATACAGAAATCAGTTGCATTTCTATACACCAATAATGAAGCAGCAGAAAAATAAATCAAAGAATCAATCCCATTTATAATTGCACCAAAAAACAAAATATCTAAGGATAAACCTAACCAAAGACGTGAAAAATCTATACACAGAAAACTATAGAAAGCTAATGAAAGGAACTGAAGAAGACACTGAAGAAAGAAATGGAAAAACATTCCATGCTCATGGATTGGAAGAACAAATATTGTTAAAATATTGATACTACTCAAAGCAATCTATATCTTCAATGTAATCCCTATCAAAATAACACCAGCATTGTTCACAGAGATAAAACAACTCTAAAATTTGTAAGCAACCACAAAAGACCCAGAATACCCAAAGTAATGTTGGAAAATAAAGCCAAAGCTGGAGGCATCACAATTCTAGACTTCAAGTTGTATTACAAAGCTGTAATCATAGAGACAGTACAGTACTGGCACAAAAACAGACACACAGATCACTTGAACAGAATAGAGAACTCAGAAATGGACCCACAAATGTATGGCCAACGAATGTATGACAAAGCAGGAAAAAATATCCAATGGAATAAAGACAGTCTCTTCAGCAAATTGTGTTGGGAAAACTAGACAGCAACATGCAAAATTAACCTGGACCACTCTCTTATACCATACACAAAAGTAAACTCAAAAGAGATGAAAGACCTAAATGTCAGACAGGAAGCCACCAAAATCCTAGAGGAGAAAACAGGCAACAACCTCTTTGACCTCAGCTACACAAACTTCTTACTTGTCATGTCTCCAGAGGCAAGAGAAACAAAAGTAAAAATGGACCTCATCCAGATAAAAAGCTTCTGCATGGGGAAGAAACAAACAGCAAAACTAAAACACACTAGATGGAATGGGAGAAGATATTTGCAAATGACATATCAGACAAAGGGTTAGTATCCAAAATCTATAAAGAATTTATCAAACTCAACACCCAAAACCCCCCAAATAATCCAGTGAAGAAATGGGCAAAACACATGAATAGACACTTTTCCAAAGAAGACATGCAGTGGCTAACAGACACATGAAAAAAATGCTCAAGATCGCTCATCATCAGGAAAACACAAATCAAAATCACAGTGGATACCACCTCACACCAGTCAGAATAGCTAAAATTAACAACTTGGGCAACAACAGATGCTGGTGAGGATGCAGAGAAAGAGGGACCCTTTTGCACTGCTGGTTGGGAATGCAAACTGGTACACCCCCTTTGGAAAACTGTATGGAGGTTCCTCAAAAAATTAAAAATAGAACTACTCTACAACCCAGCGACTGCACTTATACAAAGGATACAGGAATGCTGATTCAAAAGGGCACATGCACCCCAATGTTTATAGAAGCACTATTGACAATAGCTAAAGTATGGAAGGAGCCCAAATGTCCATCGACTGATTAATGGATAAAGATGTAGTGTGTGTACACACACATACATACACACACACAATAGAATATTACTTGGTGATCAAAAAGAATGAAATCTTGCCATTTAGAACAACATGGATGGAAATAGAGTAAATTACGCTAAGCGAAGTAAGTCAGAAAAAAAAGATATGATTTCACTCATTTGTAGACTTTAAGAAACAAAACAGATGATCATAGGGAAAGGGAAGCAAATAGAAGATAAAAACAGAAAGAGAGAAAACCATAAGAGACTCTTAAATACAGAGAACAAACTGAGGGTTGCTGGTGGGGTGTTGGATGGGGGATGGACTTGATCAAGCAGAGAAAGATCAGACAACTTAAAGATACCTTGTTTTAAATTATCTACTGGGAGTAAACAAGAAAAATATGGAAAAGGATGGAGCCTAAGTGACTCAAGGGACACAAAAAAGAGGTCCAAATGTAAATTAAGGGCACCCCATAAGGAGAGGAGAGTGAAAGGGAACAGAGAGTTTACGTGAAAAACTAAAGGTTTGTACTTCTTACATATGTGGAAAGAAGAGATAATTTCAACAAGCTCAGTAAATTCACAGCAGGATAAATGTCAAGGTATGAACACAGTGAAACATTATTTAAAAAAAATAACATGAACATGGTGACACATTATAAAATTAACCTATTGAAAATTACAAGGGAAAGGCGAACTTTAAAACACCATGACAAAAGCAACTCAGAGCTCCAATCAGATTAGTAGTGGGATTTTCAATAGACTTATTGGAGGAAGTGCATGGGACAATGTATTCAAGTACTGAAAGATTAAAAACAAAACAAAACAAAAAAACTCAGCTTGAGTGGCTGAGTGATTGAGCATCTGACTTGGTTTCAGCTCAGGTCATGATAGCACAGTTCATGCGTTTGAGCCCTGTGTCAGGCCGTGTGCTGACAGTGCAGAGCCTACTTGGGATTCTCTCTCTGCCCCTCTCTCTGTCTCTCTCAAATAAATAAACTTAAAAAATATATCAACCAACTCTAAGTTTACCAGTAGACCTGTCCTAATTAATGTTTAGGGAAGTCCTTTTGGTTGAAATAAAAGGATTGTAAAGAGTAAGTGAAACCACATGACAATACAGAGGTTTCTGTTAAATATAAATGTTTACAGAATCATAGAGATCTTTAGTATTGTACTTAGGTAGCACATATAACTTTCATTTCTGCTAGCATTTTTTTCTTTTTAATAAGGGCATAAAATTCTCAAATCTAAGTAATAAAGTATACAACATAAAGAAAAGAATTTGTGATATGGTAACAAAGTGGGTACAGGGGTGGAGAAGATTAAGTAGAAGAGTTTTGCATGTAATGAACAATGTCAGTTTACAACGGTACATTGCATCTTTACAATGTTTTAAGGAGTCTCTAGGGTAACCACAATTTAAAATACAGAGGACACAAAAGTTAATGAGACTATTATCAAATCATGTCATGGGTATAACACCACAATTAAGGATAAATGTAATATTAAATTTTTTTAAATGTTTTATTTATTTCTGAGAGTGAGCGAGTGAGCATGAGCAGGGGAGGGTCAGAGAGAGGGGGAGATACAGACTCTAAAACAGGCTCCAGGCTCTGAGCTAGCTGTCAGCACAGAGCCTGACATGGGGCTGGAACCCACGAACTATGAGTTCATGACCTGAGCCAAAGTCAGACACTTTTTTTTTTTTTTAATATTTTTATTTATTTCTAGGAGAGAGAGAGAGAGACAGCGTGAGCAGGGGAGGGTCAGANGAGCTGGCAGTCAGCACAGAGCCCGACACGGGGCTTGAACCCACGAACCGCGAGATCATGACCTAAGCAAAAGTCGGACGCTTAACCGACTAAGCCACCCAGACGCCCCATGGTTTTTTTTTTTTAAATAGTTTATTGTCAAGTTGTTTTCCATATAACACCCAGTGCTCATCCCCACAAGTGCCCTCCTCCATGCCCATCACCCCCTTTCTCTCCTCTCCCCCATCGGCCCTCAGTTTGTTCTCGGCATTCAAGAGTCTCTTATGGTTTGCCTCCCTTCCTCTCCCCAACTATTTTCCCCTTCTTCTCCCCCAGAGTCCTCCGTTAAGTTCCTCCTAATCCTTCTATATGTGCAAACATATGGTATCTGTCCTTCTCTGCCAAAGTCACTTTGATGCCACCAGATGACTGAGCCACCCAGATGCCCCTACACCTTACTTCTTATAAAGCACATGCCCATGTCATAACGTTTGAGTTAAAAAATCAGAGCTGAATCTCATATATAACTAATCAGAAAGTAAAAACACATATAAAAAGGTAACAGGATCTTCATATCATATAAGTCAAAATTATAAAATGATACAATTATTAATGAATAAAGTTATAATTGAAACTTTATTATAGGCTGCAAATTCTACATTCTAAATGTTCTAGGTCTAGGTGACATTAATTTACCCAAGAATTCTAGGATACAAATAGGTACATTAAATTACTTCATCACTGAGGAATAAACACATAGAATGGAAATCCCAGCTTCAGTTAATACAATGAAACCATGAGAGACTCTTGAATGCCGAGAACAAACTGAGGGCTGATGGAGGTGGGGAGGGGGGGAGGGGGGTGATGGGCATGGAGGAGGGCACTGGTGGGGATGAGCACTGGGTGTTATATGGAAACCAACTTGACAATAAACTAAAAAAATGAACTTTTGAAGTGAAGTAAAGGATTAGATTTTCTCATTTTAGGGAGGTGCTTTGTTAACTGACAAAATTACGGACTCTCAATTTTGTAGGAATGAGACTAAAGCCTCCATAATATTGGAAAGCATACACCAGAAAACATGTGATCATGGTCTCCAGTGGATTTCTGCGCTGAAACCCAATATAGCCACCACTATCCTGACACACTTGTGACAGGAAGCTAAACAGAATTTAGAAAAAACTTAGCATAGAGTTCCTCAGAAATACAGAGATTTCCTCTGGAGCCCTCAAAGCAATGCAGAAGATCCCAGATTACGGAGGCGCTCACACTCCAAGGGGAATCTCCCGACCCTCACAGTAGATATGATGGACCATCACTGGACCTAAAGGAGAATCCTTAGGTAGTGTAAGAGCATGATAATGTTGGATAGCATATATCCCTCTGTGAGAGGGAGAGAAATAAAACTAGGCTTCTCAACTAATTTCCATTCAAAGAGAGCTAGTCAAACCACGTTTTAGGGTCTACCTTCCTCCTTTACATTTGGACCTCACCCATGTCATTTGCTTCATTCAGGTCCACCTACCTGGCTGTGTGGCTACTGTCCCCTTTCCATTCACATCCCAAGTCTCCTTCTTTTGCTCCAAAAAGTTGACCAGGTCTGGTTTTGACACAAGACCTGTATATTGGAAAAGAGGAAAAGGAGTATTACTGGAGATTCTACCTTTTAATCCACCACTGTGCTCAACAGACAACAGAGAACATTGTAGAATTCTAGAAAATGATTTCCCAAATGCTGTTGACCAACAGCCCCTTTAAGAACACACAGAAGGGATTTCCAGTCTTCACATCTTGACTGCCACCTCCATGTCCTAGACACAATAATGAGGAGTGAAAACTGGAGTTTAAGATGTGGGCAGTACCTTGTTATGTCATTCAGTGTTTAGAATGGCCACTAATCAACAGAAATGATGATGGTAAGTTAAGGAAGGGGAAGCTGAAGCTCAAAAAGAAACATCATGAATGTATTTCTCTATCTTCAAAACCCTACTTCTTTCCCTTACTGCAGGGATCGGAATTCCAGTCATGCAAAGAGGAAGCTTCCAAAGAGACAGTCTTCAACGGAAGGAACAAAATCCCAAGTGTGGTTTGGGAAGATAAAAGGAGTTATCCTCACCCAAGAGGAGAAGGTGTCCATAGTTCTCCAACATCACATCCCTGTACAGATCCCGCTGACTGTGGTTCAGGAAACCCCACTCCTCCTGAGAGAATTCTATCGCCACATCCCTGAAGGTCAGCAGCTCCTGCAATAAATACCACAGTTACCAAGTGGCCAAACACAGAGTTCATAATGGTACCTAAGATGAAAGAGGGAGTTAATGTCACCAGTTGGACCCCAAGACCTGACCTTTACTGCTTACCTGCTTGTGCCCACTGACCTTACTCTCTCATTTTACTTAACCTCTTATTTCCACCTTATCTTTTATTTCAGGCAAAACACCCCATGGACTGAGTCTCCTGTGATGGAAACAGAAAGTATCCAATAGAAGGTAATGACTGCCCTGAGGAAGAGCTTGGATTGGCCTAGTTTGAGCTTAACCCCTGACTCACACCTATGCAGATAGATCAAAGAGTAACCCAGCCTCCTCATGACTCATTACCATTATTCATTATAATACTAAAAACCTCCACCCAAGGAGTAACATAAACTTCATTTATATAAGATACAAAGTATGTAAAGAACTGTTATCTTAAGGAACATGTGCGGCCTTATGCCCATTTCTATATAATATGACAAGACCTCTCTTTCTAAATATCCACCCTAACCCTAAATAAAAGGAAACCATTCCCCTTCCCTCTGTGTGTCTCTGCTTTGGAAGTTATTCTCTGTGATCTCCTTACTGGTGAAAAAAATCAAGTTTCCTTTCTGTGATGACCCCACCTGGTGTAGTTCCTATCTATGACTGTTATACTTCAAGATTTTAAGATACTAAAACATGTCAATCATATGATTCTTGTTTTCATTTTCTGAAAATATAAAGAAGTAAATAGAATGGGATTTTTGTGACCTGATGTGGAGTGAATCAAAAACATAGAGGTTGGTGGGCACCTGGGTGGCTCAGTTGGTTGAGCGTCCGACTTCAGCTCAGATCATGATCTCATGGTTCATGAGTTCAAGCCCCATGTTGGATTCTGTGCTGACAGCTCAGAGTTGGGAGCCTGCTTCAGATTCTGTCTTCCTCTCTATCTGCCTCTTCCACCTCACGCTCTGTTTTCTCTCTCTCTCAAAAATAAATAAACATTAAAAAAAATACAAAGACAATGGAGGTCTGATTGAGAATCTCTACTCCCACCAGTCAATATCCTTACAACAGAAAGGTGAGCCCTGTATTGTCCAGTGGAAACTGATATGACGTGGGACTGGAGCTCAGGGTCATGAAAGTATCCTTGAGATAGTTTTGGTGTAAAAAGCTATTTTTAATCAAGCATGGGCAATGACCCATGGGCAGAACGACCTACACTGTCATTTGATTTTAGTTGAGAAACTATTGATTTTATACTTTTAAGTTGGAGGGTAGAGACAAGAAAGTTTCTAAAGGGATTTTTCATATGTTAAAGAAGACTAATAGAATCCCAAAAGTCTGGCTCTGGTCAAGCTAAAGTCCCTTTTTGCATCTAACAAAGCATCAAATTAAGGCTGTTGGGCATTCCTTGAGCCAGGTCATACTCTTCCTACTCGATGTATTTATAAATGCACTGCATATTCAAGGAAATTTAATTTTATCTACATTTCCTTTGTCTTTGTTTTCCTCATCAAAAACTGCAGCCAAGAGAAACTCAGAATAAAGTTTCCAGTTTATTCTGGAATAATAACCATCCAGTTGTGATGGCTTCTGAACCTCATTCCATAAATCCACATAAGATTCCTATGAATTATGAGAGCGCAAATATGAACTTTGTAAGGGAAAAATCCACCAAAGACATCAAGCCAAATAATAGAAGGTAATATCAGCTTTAATGAAAAAATGAGGCACACCAAAGGACCTATAATTACTAGTATGTTCTTAAGGCCACAAAAGAGTAAATCAGAATTAAAATACAATTATTAGAATACAGTGCATTTATATAAAGTTCAATCACATATAATTTCCATGTTCTGTAATATCCAGTATATTTTAAACAGTATTTTTTTCACATTCTAAAGAGGAAGACTCCTTTTATTTTTTTCCAAGATCTTTTTGAGTTATTCCAGTCTCATATCCATCTTGTGCATTTGTGCATTTTCTTAATCCTGGTCTACAGAGAACTGATAAAGCATCCAGATGGAACCTACTGAACTTGACTGAAATCCCAGGAACAGAGCCAATATGCAATAGGAATCTCGGACTCAACACCTTCCCCCTGTGGATCTGTCAGAAGGGGAATATTTTCACTACGTGCAGGACCTTATGTCAAAGTGACAATTGTTGATGCCCTATGGGAAGCCACATTGGAGAATGAGGAAGAGCTTCTGGGAAATAGGTGGGGAGTATTCTATGGGAAATAAGTTCAAGAATTCTGTACACTTGCACCAATGGGTTAACAAGGCTTAGGGTGGAAAGCTGCCACAGGGTGAAAGTGCACCCAATGACAGTCATTAAGACAAAGCACAGAGGCAGAAAGGTGCCACTGAGAGAAAGCACCTAAGATTAGCTAGTGAAAAAAGGTGCTTTGTTAGCCTTGCGGTAGCACGTTCCAGCAATCTTAAACTTTGGAGATTAACAGCTACTTGGTTGTATTGCCCACAGAGAAACACTGTCCATCTGCTGTTTTGCACCAATATATCATTGTGCTTTAATCTCAACTTCTAATGCCACTCGCCCCCCCCAAACCCTTTGCTTCTTACACCTACAAATTAATGGTCACTATCTTATTATTTTCTTCTGCACGTTCACCACGTATGTAAACCCTTGAAAGCTCAATAAATGTGGTACAAAACCCCTGTTCGGGGCGCTTGTCATCTCCCAGACATTAGCCTCTCTCATGTTCAATTCTGTGTCTGCTCTCTTGCTGGACAAGAGAGAATTCCAGACAAAAAGTCTGTGACAGTGTTCTAAAGACCTAACCTTGAATACCATTTCTGAAAACGTTTTAAATATAGGTGAAAAATGAGGCAGAAACATCAGAGGTAGAGGCATCAACACTTCCAATTTCCAAATGCATGGAATTTCAGGAGAAAAAGACATCATGGACTCTGACCTGGGATACCAGGCTTACCTGAGAACTGGCCATTACTTCTTTCACCTTGTCCCCTAGATTTGTTTCTCAGAAGATATCTGTGGAGAAATCACAGCTGCATCAGGAGAAAATGGCTTTATACCCACTGGAAGAGCTTCTTCATAAGTAAACTGCTCACCTGCAGGTAAGACATTGTAATGCAAAAAAAGGTTGAACTTCCTAGTCCTTTGCATCCTGACATTCGGAAACTATGAGCTCCTACTTGCAAACCAATCAATATCTGAGTTTTCCTTTTCGGCTTTCAGGAGCTTCTCCTCCTACACATGCCTACAAATTCTGCCACAGCATAGGAACAATGTGCTGCACGGGCCTGACCCACACAGACTCCTGTAGGGAAGACCCTGTTACCTCTCTTTGAGCCAAAACCTGCACTCAACTCTTTTAAAGTAATGGGAAGCCTTCTTGCTTAATCCTGGCCTCACTTAGAATCAACTGGAGCACTTAAAACAACACTGTTGTTTTCACTCACACCAACTGATGGAATATGAAGGGGAAGGCATCAGATATGATTGTTTTTTGAAACTCCAAGCGCGATCTATTGGGAAACATTAGGGGATGTGACCAAGCAAAAAAAACATTAACCAAGGCTATGGTTGTTATCCAGATTTAAATCCATTCCTTTTTCACTGATTGGAGTTTCTGGAGAATTACACATTCTCCTTCCTTTGGCTTCATGGAGGGAGACACCCTTCCAAATGGAACTTTCCCTGATACATGCAAATGTCTCTTACAAAGGAAACTTGTACTGGGTCTAGAGGTTTTCCTTTGTTGTTTCTTTAAAATAACAACTTACAATAATCCTTAGGTCAAAGATACATTCTGGGGTGAGAACATGGTCCTCTTCAGTAGGGAAATGTTTATTTTCATAAGTAACTGCATACACAGTTTTCTAAAATGAATATATCTTTTGTGCACCCATCAGCAATATATGAGAATTGTAATTCCTCAACATTTAAGTGGAAATTTGGTGTTATCCTTTTTCTTCATTTTAGCCATTCTAGAAAATTTCAAGTGGTTCCTCACTCTAAAATATGAAGTGGTCTTATTCCAGTTGTCCTGGTGACTCAAACTGAAACCACTTAAAAACATAAAGTTGAACAAAAATCGAACGGCTGCATCAAAACATCAGTGAGTGTTGACATTAAACTAAATAACCTTTTTTTTCTCCTTTGGGAAAACTTTGGTCTTTCCTTCTTAGTCTCTCTCTCTTTTTTTCTTTTTTTTACAGAACCAGTACTACACTGAAAATATGAGGAACAAGGCTGGCAGCAAAGACAATTCCTGTTTAAACCAGCTAGGTCTTGTGTTTCCCTACAAAACCCTCCAGCCCCTTCCTCTGGGTGGGTTTGAAGTTCTGAAGGCCCTAACCTACTATAGCCTCCTTTGCCTGTCAAAGCAATATAGCTATTGTTTCTCTTTTTCCCAACCTGTCTTCTGGTTATATTGACTCTGAAGCACTGAGGTCAGTTTTCAATAACAGAATGAATGTGTAGGAGAGGAAAACTTTTTTCTTCTTCCATTCTCAATTCTTTGATTGTTCTAATTGTTAAACTGACATAAGACAGAATCACAAGAGGAAAAAAAAATCTTAATTATAAGAACCTTAAGGGTCCAAGGCCTCAAAGCCCTCCTGACATATTGGATGATAATTGCTTGTTATTCTATGGGGATAACAGGACCCTGTGGGTGTACGATTATTTGAACAACTGGAAAATGGGATGGATTCCCCAACAACTTCGTAACTCAACTATCACCCTGACCATTATTTTGTGGCTAGAATGACAAAATTGATCTTTAAAAGCCAGAGCGTACCCTACTCCAGGGTTAACTATGGACCTGTGGACATAATGGATGACCTCACTTTCCTTAGGACTGGATTGGATGGCGCACTTGGGGATGCCTTTATCTCTTGAGACAAATCTCCTCCCACTTGCCAGTGATTCCTTATAATTACGATATTGGTAAGGCTAGACCTCAAACAAAGAGAGTTTCTTGATGGTTTTATTCCTTAGTCCTATTTGTCCCAGGAACTACCTCTATTGATGTCCAATTCCAAATAGAGGTTTTATTCAAGCACACAACAGCCCTCCTGGTAAAGAAACCTCAAAACTTACGATGGGGTAGTCTCTGACAGTAATGACTCCACATTAGGTCCAGAGTGTCTTAGAGACCAAAGGCCCAGTGGGTGATGAGAGGCTTATTAACTACCAGATTACGCTCTTAGATACACCTGAAATACTTAACACTTGTCCAACTTTAAACCCAGCTACCCTTATGTCTGGGCCTGACCATCGTACCTCCGTGTTACAACATGACTGCTCAGAGGTTATTGATCTCGTTTATCCTAGTCAGCCAGATTTAAAAGACTCCCCTACTGAAGATGCAGATGACAGTTGGTTTAGTGATGGCAGTAGTTTCATGGAAAGGGGGATAAGAAAAGCTGGGGAGGCTATAGTCAGTCTGACTCAGACTGCTGAGGCCAAAGCCCTCCCAGCAAATACATCCGCCCAAGAAGCAGAGTCACTCATGCTTTACAACTGGCAAAGGGTCTCAAAACTAACATGTGTACTGACTCTAAATATGCCTTCCTAAACTAATTTGACAATAAACTATTTGTAAAAAAAAAAAAAATAAATATGCCTTCCTAATCCTACATACCCATGGAGCAATTTGGAAGAAAAGGGACTTATAGCCCATAATAACTCCCCAATCAAATATGGTCCCTAAATGATAACTCTTCTTGAGCCTGTACACCTACTGAAGTAGCTGTAATTCACTTCAAAGGACAGCAAAAAGACATGACCTTAGGATCTAAGGGAAACAGTTTGGCAGGCCGTGCAGCCAAGCAGGCCACACAAAATAAACAAATACTAAATCTTACACCAGTCTAACTCCAATAAAGTCCATAACTCCAGTCTATTCAGGCCAAAAAATTCACATAGCCTAGTAACAAGGATATTTAAAATATGCACAGGACTGGCTTGTTAACAATAAGAGCAAAATATTTATTATCCTCCCTACCCCATATAGCCAATGGAAGGTAATATGGGGCTCACATGAGGCTACTTGAGTAAAAAGGCTACTGAGGTGACAAAAGTCCTGCTAAGAGGAATTATCCCTAGATCTGGACTGCCTTCGTCTCCACAAAGTAATAATAGCCTGTTTTTTATTGCACAAATAATTCAGAAAATAGCTTGCGCCTTAAAGAAATTACTATTTACATTTAGCCTGGTATCCATAGTGCTCTGGAAAGGTGGCTCTCCAAAACCAAATGGCCCTTGATAACCTGACTGCAGTTCAAGGAGGCCCAGAATTAGATGACTGGCTCCTAAAGGACCAGATGGCTATGTGGCTCTAACTTGTGTCCACGGCTTCAACCAGGCTGAATAGGCCACTGTACTTTGGGTTTTGCCTGAATGCATGGATGCATTATTAAAACCATTGCCAACCCAGCCAAACTTCCCAATTTAAAGCAACGATGGACATATTCTATGTCTTATCAATCTTTGTTCCCTCCTTGGTTTGACACATGGAAGCTCTATAGATACAGTCAAAGCCCTAAATGACACTCAAAATAGCATTTCCCTATTAAATACTGAAGGAACACAAATGCATAAAGCAGTTTCACAAAATAAAATGGGATTAGATGTTTAAACTGCTGCACAAGGTGGAACATGTACTATCATAAATACAGAATGCTGTGTATACATTCTAGGTTACTATAAAAAGGTTTTGGGGTTTCTAACTGATATGAATACTCACCTGCTGCTTTAAAAGATCCCTTTCTTTCTTTTAATGATTGGTTAAACTTCTGGACTGGAAGAGGACTTTTGTTAACTACCAAAGGACTCTTATTTAGGCTTCATTTTCATTTTGTTATTCTAATCAAGTTTTGTTGTTTTTTCCCAGGTCTCTCTACTTGGTGCCCAGGCTCTTTCACCATGATAACTTCAAGACGACAGATGATCTTTTGCACTTGGGAAGATCCATACATGTGGTCTCCCTTGGACTCAGCTGCCTCTGCCTTTTGTAACTCCTATAAGCATAAGTTCCCAACTGATCAATGTTGACCCATAGGTAGGGACATCTCTATGCCCCTCATTCAGTAGGAAGAAGTTGCAGAAGATGAGACCTTCCACCCTCAGCAGCCTGAAAGATTTAAGGGTCAAAACTGTTCAGGGGGGATGACGTGAGAAACAAAGGCAAAAGAAAAATAAAATAAATTTCCTTACTGCCTATGGCCCATTCACAAGTCCTTGAAACACATAGAGTGACATTTCCTCTAGGAACTTAGCTGCATTGATGATGACTCTTTGCTAAGGGAAAAAGGGAATCTTAGCTCGACCCTCCAGGATCCTGTAAGTCTACTTTAACATATAAAAATTTCTTTGGAAACTTCTTTTATCTCTACCCAACCCAGCCAACCACCCCAAGATACATGTTGGAAACCATTTCCAAGCATCTGGCCCACTGATCTACATCTGAAGGGTCTCGTGACTGAGTTTTTACTAAACGATAATAAATGACCTTTTCCTAACAATAGCTAGTCCCCTCAGGATCCTGAAAACCTTGCCACCAAAATTCCTTAGACTTACACTACCCCTAACCCCCTCCCAACTTGAAGGTATATAATTAGTCACCCGTCATAAGCCCAATGCAGCCCTCTCTGCTCATGGTCCCTGTGCTTTAATAAAACCACCTTTTTGTACCAAAGACATCTCAAGAATTCTTTCTTGGCCACGGGCTCCAAATCCCAACATTCCCACATCACTGAGATGAGGATTATTATTTTAGGTACCCGGAGGCCAGAAATACAAGGAAACAAAGTCTACAGCCTTGGAGGGCCTTCCAGGCACTAGCTGCCGAAAATTACAACCTCTTCACCACAGAAGTGGTGATTTTCACGGTTGCTCACATTTACAAATGTCAGAGAGGAAAAAAATCTGACTCAAACTTTGCCTCTATTCAAACCAGTTCACCCAGTGAAGAGATTTTTTTCTTTTTTTAAAATTTTTAGCTGTAAGTACACAGCAAGCTTTCTGAGCTTCTGGACAAGGGCAGGAAGTAAATGTTAAACTATAGGGGTTCCTTTGAGCACCGGACAGAGGAAGCTGCCCTGAAGCAACTGACTGTCATTGCTAGTCAGGGCTCACTGTCAGTCAGGACCTTCCAGCTCTTTCTTTCCCTGCCGATAATGCTCTCACAACCATGGTGAACATTCCTAAAACCCACCAGACTTTCTCCAAGAAGTGTGGCAAGCACCAATCCCGCAAAGTGACACAGCACAAGAAAGGCAAAGATTCGCTTTATGCCCAGGGAAAGTGGTGTTATGACAGGAAGCAGAGAGGCTATGGGAGGCAACCGAAACTGACTTTCTGGAAAAAGGCTAAACCTACAAAGAAGATTATGCTGAGGCTTGAATGTGTTGTGACCAACTGCAGATAAAGAATCCTGGCTATTAAGACATGCAAGCATTTTGAACTGGAAGGAGATAAGATAAAGGGCTGAGTGATCCAGTTCTAAACTTCATAATTCGTTACATTATGAAGATAATAAGATCTTGAGGTTATGTTCAAATAAAGAAAGTGGGGGAGGGGGTGCCTGGGTGGCTTAGTAGGTTAAGCATCTGACTCTTGACTTGGATTCAGGTCATGATCTCATGGTTTGCGGTGGGAGTCGCTGTCTCTCTGCCTCCCGGCTTACACGCATGTATGCCCTCTCTCTCAAAATCAATTAAAAATTTTAAAAATGAGAACCTTCCAGGAACTGATTCTCGGTACCAAGAGAAGGTGGAGAGTTCTTCACAGGGTGGTCTGTGCGGCCCGACGGACAGGTAACCTGCTTCTAGCTCAGTGGGACAGAGGGAGTCAGTGCCCTGCCCGGCTGCAGGAACAGGGCTGGGAAGTTAAGCATCTGGTTCCCACTGACTGGGTCTGTGTTGCACACGACCCTGGGCAAGTCCTTTCTCTTCCCCGGTTCAGTTTTCTTCCGCGTGAAATGGGCCGGTTGAGAAGTTGGTCTTTGCTAATTCTGCCGTCCAACAGGTTCTGAGACTGCTGGGAATCCAGGGCGAGGCTCAGGAGCAAGATCTCAGAAGGGGGTTTCAATGCAGGATGTCTCCTCCTCAGCTGGGAGCCATAAATGGGCGCCTCCATAGCGCACCCGTTGCTTCAGCAGCCCCTCCAATCGGCGACTTCCTCCTTCCAGGCGGCCTTCCACAGCCTCCCGTGCAGGCAGCGCTCCACAGCTCCCTCTTTTCCCGACCTCCTTTGCAAGCTCCCACAAGGCCCGCGGCTCCTCCTCTTCTTCCCCGGAAGTCACGGAAGTCACGTGCCCTGCATGCGCCCACCTTCCGGCCCAGCGGGCGCCCCTCCCCCCCTCCGAGTCCACCCCCTCCCGTACCTTACTTACCTGGACAGACGCGTGCAGGTCAAGTCAGGAATCCCGACCCCTGACGTCGGCCTCCAGCTCTCGGGAGCGGGTGGCGACGGCAGGGAGGCCGGAGGGGGAAGGGCTCCGGTCAGCAGCCGCCCCGGCCCTTCTCAAGTTTCACTTTTAGTCTGTGGGTCCGCTCCCCGGCCCCGCGCGAGCTCTCCCGGGACAGGTAGCGTTAGCGAGCAGGCAAGAGCTGGGGGGGCGGCGCGGTGAGGGCGGGCCGCGCTGCCCGGGGCGCGGGGCGGGGCCTGCCCGGGGCGGGGCCCCCCGCCCCCTCCTTCCGTCTGCCTCCGCCTCCGCCTCCAGCCGCCGCCGCCGCCGCCGCCTGGGCCGCCTTCTCACCGAGGTATTGTTGCAAATCCCCCTTCCTTCCCCACCACCCTTCTCTCGGGGGCGCCCCGGGAACCCCCGGCGCTCCTCAGGCGAGCGCGGGGCGTGGAGCGCGCGCCTAGCTCCGACCCATGGTGCGGAAGTGCCGGCCGCGGCGCAATCGCGGGGTGCACGCACGGCGGAGGGGACCCCGAGTTTCCCGGAAGCCTGGACCCGGGGCTGGGCGGCGTTGGAGCCCCTCCCTGAGTGCCCCCGCACACCCTGCCTCGGGTTTCCTGGGGCGGCCCACACACGGCTGCTTGGAGCTCCCTTGGTGGAGAGAGCCTAGAAGCAAGTCCCGCCATTTTATAGTCCGCGCAGTTCAGCCCCGGAGGGGAGGGCCTCCCCGGAGTCCCTCACTTACTGGAGGCCGAGCCATAGGTGACATAGATGGTTCCCAAGTGCTGTTTCCTTTTCTCCAAGCATTTCTGCAGCACCCACTGTGTGCCCAGCGCTGTGCTGAGCGTGCGGGGTCAGAAAGGCCGGTGGAGCCCGGTCCCAGCCTTTAAAGAGCTCTTAGTCAACTGGGGTGCTCAGCCGGATCCAGATAAATTGCAGCGTGCTGGGGGGAAAGCATGGATAAAGTTCTTTTGGTTTTGTTTTGAGAGAGAGGGCAAGTCGGGAGGGGCAGAGAGAGGATCTCGAGGGCTCTGCGCTGACAGTAGCAAGCCCAGCGTGGAGCTCGAACTCACCTGAGACGAACTCCTACACGCAACTGACTGAGCCACCCAGGTGACCCTTTTCTTCCCTCTTAACGCCGCCCCCCCCCCCATCTCACAGAGGTCATTAGTATTGCATTGCCTTCATAGCATTTTTAATGTGGCAAGTGAATTTTACAATTGTTTTTAATTACTTACCTCACAGTTGCAGTCAGAGATGGGTCAGAAAGATTAGTCTTATTTTGCAGAGTGTGAGCAAGAGTTCACGGGTGAAGAACCTTCCCACGGGCTGCTCCACTTTAACTGACAGAATGAGAATCAGATTCCCATCTCCAAAGCTCCTCTCCTGCTCCTTAACTCATGCAGGTTAAGCATGAGAAATTGATGGGAAGGTTCTTAGCAGGCCCTATACACAGGCAAGAAACTGTTCACTGTGTGCTATAGTTAGCATTGGCTCCGTGTGTCTGTGACTTTGAGAACCAGGTTGGAGACCCGAAGCTCTGAGGATCTGAGCTTTGCCATGCTATCGTTTTGGCAGTACCATCACCAAGGTTTTTGGTGTATGAAAAGCAAAGACCTGTTAACTTTGAATAGAGATCTTCTATGACAATGCGTTTGTAAGAACCAGAGAAATTTCCAGAACAGTGTTTTTTAAGCTGTAGTGCCGTGTGCAATGTGGCTATGTATGTGCACATGTGGCGATTTTCAGTGCCCAGCATGGTGTCTGTCACACGGTGGAGATTGCGAGATTGAGACCCAGAGAGCTCCAAGTTCAAACTGTAGCTGTACCACTTAATGGAGAGCACGCCCTGGGGTGGTCACAGGTGTGATTTCATAAACTGACTTGCTCAGTTTTTAGACTTCTTATCGATGAGGGCATCACCATTGAGAACAGTGTGCCCTGCAAAGTGGGCTGAATGCCATAGACCTGATGGCACTTCCAGGCTGTGCAGATGTGAACGGGGTTCTTAGCAGTGAACGTCCCCTCTGTGCAATATCCCCTCTTCCACTGTGACCATTCCCCTCTTTCATGGGATTTGTTTGTGTGGTACTGGTGCTTGTCAGCCCTGCAGAGTTTGCTTCTACTGAAGTAATGGCCTGTGTCATGGTTTCATATCAAAGCCCCCTGTGATGGGGGATGGTGCCCATCCTCCCACGAAAAACACTGTGGGAACCTTTCACAGGGCAGGTCAGCAGAGGATCAAGACAAGATGGGGGTAGTTCACTGACCTTTTTTTTTTTTTTAAATATTCTTATTTATTTCTAGGAGAGAGAGAGAGAGAGACAGAGTGAGCAGGGGAGGGTCAGAGAGAGAGGGAGATACAGACTCTGAAATAGGCTCCAGGCTCTGAGCTGGCAGTCAGCACAGAGCCTGACGCAGGGCTCGAACCCACGAACTGTGAGATCATGACCTAAGCGAAAGTCGGACGCTTAACCGACTAAGCCACACAGGCGCCCTTAGTTCACTGACCTTTAAGAAGTGCATTTTGCCCTTGTTCCACCCACAGTAGGGGGTCTTTTCCTCCCATTGCCATTCTCAGCCTTCCCTGGTCACTCAGGCCATTAACCAGCAGATCAGGTGACACACTGAAGGGCTTTGGGAGGCAGATATACTGGCTGCCTTAGGAGAAGATGGCAGTGGACATATGTGATGTAGGTGTCCTGGCATCTTTAGGAGACTGCTTTGTGGATATTAAGGGATTCCTGTCCTTATAACGTTAGTCTCCATTTGCTTGTCAGTAAAGCTGGCTGTACCAACAGTATTTGGGTAACAGGTGGAAGAACTGTGCTTTCTCGTCTGCCCAGCACAGCCCTGCTTTATGTCTGTGCCCTAATGTAGGATTCATAGTGACCCTTTTCACTCCCAAAGGTGTTCTGATTTGGAAGATAGAGTATATGGTTGCCCCGTTTGTAGGAGAGTCTCATGGTAGGTAGTGCAAGAAATGAGTGTAAGTCTAGGCCCATGTTAATGACTCAACAAATACCCACTGGTTTTGTTAGAGAAGATGCTACGTGGCCAAGAAATGTTGGTTCAATGAACTGACTTTATTTTTTAAGTCTTTTTTTTTTTTTTTTTGAGAGAGAGAGAGAGACCAGAAGCAGGGGAGGGGTAGAGAGACAGAGAGAGAGAGTCCCAAGCAAGCCTCGTGCCCAGAGCTTGGGTGACTCAGTCGGTGAAGAGTCTGACTCTTGGTTTCCACTCAGGTCATGTTCTCATGGTTCATGAATTTGAGCCCCAAGTCAGGATCTGCACTGACAGTGTGGAGCTTGCTTGGGATTCTCTCTCTCCTTCTCTCTGCCCCTTCCCCACTCATGAGCACACACTCTCTCTCTCTTTCAAAAGTAAATAAACTTTAAAAAAAAAAGAAGGGAAGAAGGTTCTGCCACAAGGGTGGTACAATACAGCAACTAGGTGTGTATGCTCTGGAACTCGTGTGGGAATTTGTTGGAAGGTCCGGGTCTTAGGTTAGACATTAAAGTTAAGTCTGAATTAGATACAGACAGGTCCTGTTTATTCCCTTCAGTCTGCAAACACCATATCCCCACTTTCCATCCCTAAAGGCCTTTGGTTTTCCCATGGCTTTCATTTTCTGATTTGTCATCTTCATTTTCTTCTGGTTGATGCCTGACTTGGGCAAAGGAGGGGGGGAAGGACGTAGGGAGTCCATGGTGTTATGAGAACTTCTGGCTTAGACATAGCTGAGGAGCTTCTGTGCTATTCCGTTCAGTTCTGTTCCATTCTGCAAGAGTTACTGACCACTTTTTTTTTTAAGTTTATTTATTTATTTTGAGAGAGAGCATGAGCAGGGGAGAGGCAGAGAGAGAGAGAGACTGGGAGACAGGAGATCTGAAGCAGACTCTTTGCTGACAGCTGAGAGCCTGGTGCTGGACTTGAGTTCACAAACAGATCATGACCTGAGTCAAAGTCAGGCGCTCAACTGACTGAGTCACCACTGCACACCTTCTTTATGTAAGACATTCTTTTAAACACTTAGAAAGATCTAGAGAAAGTTGTGTTGACATATTTGGCCTTATTTTCTCATCATGGAAATAAGATGATTGGGTTTAGTGCATTCATTTACCACATATTTAGTGGCTTACAGTTTATAAAGCACTTTGCTGTGTCTTGGGTACCATGATGATTTGGAAAAGGCCCTTGCTATTTGTTTGTTTGTTTAGAGAGTGTGGGGGAGGGGCAGAGAGAGGGAGAGAGAGAATCCCAAGCAAGTATTTGATATCAGGGATTTAGCCTGAGATCACAACCTGAGTCAAAATCAAGAGTCTGACACTCAACCGACAGAGCCACCCACGTGTTCTTAGGTCCTTGCCTTTTTTTTAAACATTTATTCATTGTTGACCGACAGAGATAGAGCACAAGCAGGGGAGGGGCAGAGAGGGAAGGAGACACCAATCCAAAGCAGGTTCCAAGCTCTGAGCTGTCCGCACAGAGCCTGACGCAGCACTTGAATTCTTGAACCATGAGATCATGACCTGAGTCCAAGTAGGACACTTAACTGACTGAGCTACCCAGGAACCTCCAAGGTCCTTGCCTTGAAAAGAATACACACAGTCTGGTATGAGAGGTACAGTAGAATATATATTGAACAAGATGCTGATGTCCCTTAGAATGCTATAATTATTTAGGGTCCTGTTCCCCAAAGTGTTAACGAATATTCTATGAGGAAAAGGTCCTGTAGCCAAGTAAGTGTAGTAATGTCCAAGTTCAACAAAATTAAATGGATATTTTTATCATGGGATCCTCTGAGCCTTTAGTAACCTAATGCACACTGTGACCTCCCAAGAGGTTTGTTTCTCAAAGTTATTTGATCAGAGAATCCCAGCATCACCACCTCCTCCTGTTGGGTTTGTTTTTTTTTGTTTTTTTTAAGTCTCCCTAAGACATTTCGTAGGCTTAGTGTTCCAGTGTGCTTTGGGAAAAGCTGCTGTGGGCCATGGATCCAGTCTGTACCATGTGGATATAGGAGGGTTACTCAGGCTGCACCCTAGTCACAGATACAGGGTTCAAAGTTCTGTGCATGAAATGTGTGCTCACACAGTAGGTGATTTCAGACACAAGGACATGTGGCTAGGGTTGAGGGTATGAAATCAGAACAATAGGGCTGAGCTTGTGAAGGTGGGTCTGTTGTGTAATCAGAGGGGCTGGAGAATTGTCAAGAGTTGTCAGGAATAGGGGTTGAGTGTCTGACTCTTGATTTTGGCTCAGGTCATGATCTCACAGTGCTGAATTCAAGCCCTAAGTCAGCACGGAGTCTGCTTAAGATTCTCTCTCTCTGCCCCTTCTGTGCTCATGTACATTTCTCTCTCTCAAAAAAAAGAACCACTGGGAAGCAGAGGTGCAGATTCCCTTCTCTGAGCTGACCCCTCCCCACCTGCACCACAATTTTCCCAGCACCCCATCTCTCCTTCCTTTCTGCTAATTCCATCTGGAGTCATTTTAGACCAGATTTGCTCCTGACTGACTTTACTGATTCACTTTCCTGATCAACGTTTCTCAGGACCTTCTGGTCAGAAGTAAGCTTACAAATTAAATTGGGCATTCAACCCTCTTTCCCCTTCTACAATGTTCTCCTGAAAATCTGGTTTTATTCTGGGTTTTCCTGCCTGGTGTCAGTCAGTTCTATGAATAACTGGCAAACACTATATTCCCGGGAGGACTCTTGGCCCAAGGGAGTCAGGGAATTGGGGCCAACAGTGGGGATAGTTTTAGGGCTCACCTGCCTTCAGAAGAACTGGGACCTAGATTCTTGGTCACCTCTTCAGGTACATCTTCCTCAGATAACACCCCGTCCCTCTTCTGAATTAACAGATCGACTTCATAAATGTCATTGCATTCTAGAAGGCCCATTCCTCAGGTCAATGTAAAGCCTTTCAAACCAGTCACTTCCTTGTTTGGGCTGAAGATACCTTATTCCTGTAACAGGACATCCCGTGGGGCAGTTACGACTCCACTTTTTTGGGGGTTAATTGTCTACTCTGAGTAAGGAATTCTGTCCTATATGGGGGCATGTTCTTCAAATACCAGAGGAGGGAACAGCCTACTTCTCCATATATGGAAATTCTTACCCACCACACTGATCTATTGGAAGAGAAGGAGGTGACTCAGGGTTTAGGAGAAGCAGGATTTGAATGCTAGTTCCTAGAAATAAAGTTGCCCCCGTCCTCCCTCTCCTCCTGCCCCCTCTATTCCTTTGCCCGTTTTTCTGGAAACTGAGGAGAGAATGTCTCAGTGCTGTTTCCCTCAGGCCTTAGGACCACCTCCCTGCAGTGGGGCTTCAGGTGTGTGAGAGGGATTGAGGACCAGTGGAGGGCCAGCTCCCTGTGGGGCCTCACTGTGGTGAGGACATCATTGTTGACAGAGCAAATGGCATTTCTGCTCACAGACCTGGGGCTTGCAGCCGTGGGAGGTTTCACAGTGATGGGACATGTTGCCGGAAGCTCTGGCCACTTTGATTTGGGGTGTGGACAGCTACTTTCCCAGGGGAGCTCTTCTCACAGTGGGATTTAGAGAGGGACTCTGCCTGAGGGAAAATTCTGTTTTTCTGTAGAGAGAGAGGCAGAGATTTTCCCCACCTGAGGCATAGCCAGAGTTGAGTAGAAAGATAATTGAGGAGTGTTGTCTGATTACTAAGGTTAGACCAATGAGCCAGAAGCACTTTTCTAGAGACTTGGGTAGGAATCATTTTAGCTAAAGAAGCAGAATTATGGTTGGCTTGAAGCACATAGAAATGTCACCAAATCTGCAGCATTTACATGGCATCCATGTCTGGAGTCAGTACCCAGAGCACAGGACAGTGTGTGTGGGTTGATGGACTCTCTGCATTGGAAGGAGTCATAGAGATTATTTGGTCGGCCTGCCTCGTTCTCCTGCAGGATGGTAGGTGGTAGAAGCCTGGGGAGCCCAGCTGACTCCCCCTGCCATCAGGTACCGGGCTGATGGGGTGGGATTGGAACCCAGATCATTTGGCTCTCAGATCATTCCTCCTTTCATTACATTCTGCAGGCAGAGGCAGAGAAGGACATGGCCATTTTGCACATGAGGAAATTGGGACTCTGGGTGCCAGAGTTGCCCACACTTAGTGATCCGATTGGTGAGACTGAGAACTAGCACCCAGTTTTTTCAGACCTCTTTGTACCATGTTACATGACCTCAGATGCCTGAATTTGTTGTTTTTAGAATTTTTCCTTTTTTTTCTTTTTTGGTTTCTACTTACTCTGCCTTTGGTCATTTGAATGTGAACTGCTGCCTTATTTTCGTTTCTCCCAGGCGGTGGAAGTTACAGATGGGCCTCGGAAGAGAATGAGCATGATTTCCCATCTTAGTTCCTATCACTATCCTGGAAGCTGCTGGAATTCTGGAGTGTAATTCCCATTGAAAGGTGAGCCTCTGAATGGATTTTATACGCACACACACTCACACACATACACACAAATACACTCATAGACACACACTCAGACATGTACATAGATACGTATACAGAGAGACACATATACATACAGCACACACATTGACACAAAGACACAGACACACAGACATGTACTCTTAGAAACACACGGGCACACACACACAGGCACATACACGCAGATACGTATACACATATATGTGCACACAGACATATATACACAGTAGACACACACAGACATGCACAGCAGAGACAAACAGAAATACACAAGAAATACACACAGCAGACACATAGATACACACTCAGAGACACACATAGACACACACTTCTTTGCCTTCTGTGATATCAGGACAGCTTTCGAGAGCGACTTAGAGGGCACCATCCTTTCTCACAGCCCCCAGATGTTACATGGCCGTAAGTAGTTCTTTGTAGTCAGTTCGGTTTTGCCAGTGTCTTCCATGACATTCACAGTGAATTCCAAAAGCTTCTCCATGTACAGTGAGGGTGTATGTGATCCAACTGCTATTCCATTGATTTTTAGGGGGATGTGAAATTTTGTACATATAAGGAGCTTTTATATGGAGGCCCCAATGTGATTCACTCCCTTCCCATTTGGGGATGCACTTGTCTCCTGGTACAACATCAGGAATGCAGCGCAGATGTCAAATCTTAGGCAGAGCAGCCCTCCCCATGGAGGCTTCCCTATTGACCAAACTTGGTATTCTGTCCTCAGAAATGTACTGGAAGACTCAGTATTTACATTGGCCTCACGGTGGAATAATTGGGCCAGTTCATTAAGACCTAATTGATCCAAGGCCCCATCAAGGACTAAGGATTGTGGGGTTGGGACATAGGAGATTGTAGTTCTAAAACTACACCAATGGATCCCAATGTGAAACCAGTGCTGAGAACAACTTTTCTAAGCATGCCTTGTCAGACTTTCATGTATGTACAAATCACTTGAGGTTCCCTTTAAAAACAGATTCTGGATCTCCACACTCAGATATCATGACTTTTTAGATCTGGACAAAGCCCATTAATTTGTGTTTTTAACAGACATTGAGGTTGCTGTCCCCAGACTTCATTTCTGGGAGCACTAAGCTAGAGAAAGCCAGAAGAGCACACCTAAGTCCCTTCTACACAATCATCCTATCTCAGCACAAATAGTACTGTTGCCAGTGAAAACTAATAGCTTCAGGAAAGATGTCATTCTCTGCTCATCTCCTGCAAGTTGAGAAGGGACTGGATAAGGCAGTGGTGTCTGATCAAGTCTATTTGGGGTAATTAGTATGTACTCATTCATCAAAGGGATGTTTATGGAGTATCTGCTACATGCTCCAGGTGTATGAGGGCACACTGTGTCCAGAACACTGTGCTGGGAATCTTACATACAAGATGTGAGTTAATCTTTCTAAAGCCACGGTGGTATATGTTCATTTCTTCCAGGAGGATTGATTTCTGTGTATGCCTTCCTGGGAGTAGAGAGTCCTCTTCTTTCTCATTATCAGTAATTTAAAAAATAATGCTGGATGTGAGAGCACAAATATAGAGAGCAGACTGGGAGACAGAATGGAAGTTGGATTGGGGCTCTGAGGGAAATCTGATGTGTTTGCATTTAGATATTTGGTTTATTTTTATGTGTGGAAAATCAGTGGGCACCCCAGGAATGGAAGATGGGATGCTGTGTGTTACCTTAGAAGCACTGTTTGAACCAGAAAGGTGAAACTGACTCCCCAGATTGTAAGTCCTTTGCTCTCCTTTATCTGAGACCAAGTGTCAGAAAGTGTAAATGCCAACTTGGGTCACCCAGGAGGTGGAGCTGCCAGAAACTCTGTTCTCTGAGCTCTCCTCAGAAGGGAGGATCTGGGACTGGCAGTGGAGTTGTGGAGGGCAGTTTCATGGTGGAATGGGTCATTTTTGACAGAATCTGAAGAGACAATTCCATTAGGCTCTGCAAACCTATTTAGGTAGAGGGACTATTCCTGATGCATATTCTGGGACAGCTGAGCTCTGTGACCAGAATGTTAGCCCCGAAGTATGAAACAGGAACCGGGGGTGGGGGCAGGAGCATCAGAAGGTCCGCTTGAGGTGGGATTGATGGGTGCCTTATGTGCTCATATTACACAGCATGATCCTGGGTGGCCAGTCCCTGGTCCCTGTCTGCTCCGTGATCCCCTGCATTGTGGGAAGTGCAGGTTTTGGCCCTAAGAGGGTGTGTGCCAGAAGTCCTCTGTGCGCATGTGCAGCACTTCTCCAGAAACTGAATCTGCGCAGGCGCTATGTGGAGCTCTTACCAAGAGTGAAGTCTGGGCAAGTAAGGGTGGAGTTTCATTGGTGTCTTAAGCATGCATGTGCAAAAGTGGGGCAAAAGGGGCAGGAGAAGATGTCACAGTAACTCTTAAGCCCACAATGCAAGTGGGCAAGGTATTCAGGCCAGTGAAAAAAGTGGTCAGAATGGAAGGTGATACTGTGTGATGTTAAATGATGCACTGATATATGTTCAAATTTTCAAGAGTTCATTTGACCAATTGTCTATTCAGACAGTTGGTCATCCTCCACCTATAGGAGTTAGTGGTGAGGATTTTACAGAGAGGATGTGGAAGCAAAGCAAGGACATTGTTTGACTGGATATACCTTAAGCAGTTGCCTTAGTTTTGAAGTCCTACTTGACTATAACTTTTTCAGTTCAGTTTCTTCTGTTCCAGTGCAGTGACTGTGAATTACATTGTGGTTTCTTTACAGAGACTATCAAGGCATTAGAGCCACCTCAGGTTTTGGCTTCCATAGGGAAGTTATTTAACATCTGAGGTCTTTAACAATGAAAACATAGATGGTAGTATATTACAGTTCTGTTTGAATCCATTAGCATGCTGATTTAGAAATTGCTGACTCATTGTAAGAATGCAGTCATGATGGCACAACAGTCCCTTGTCCCAGAACCACCCAGCTAAGTCACATGTGTACAAATCAAAGATGCACATTTCATGATGTGTGTGATAGCACGAGACAGATACCTTCAATGATGTAAGTCTATAAATAAGAATGGTTCAAGGAGGAGGTTTAATTTATAATTACCTGGGGTATGAAGCAGATCCATTTCTACTGGTGTGAAAATATCACCTTCATGTATTATTGGTTAAGGAAAGCAATTTGACTGGTAGTAAGTTTGATATGATAATATTTATGTAAACATTGAACCAAGGAGAAAATATTTTACTGCCGGTATATGTTATACAATTTCAAATGCAATTGCACGTGCACTCTGAATTTGCATAAGAGGGAGGCTCCACCTCAACTTGACACACTGTTATGTCTGAAGATCAAAGTATTATCGATTGGTGGTAATTTTTTTTCTTTTTACTTTAAGTATTTTATAAGTTTATAGTGTATAATTTTCATTTTACAATTGATGATATGCTTATGTTTAGTTGTTAAAATCAAGGTTTTATGAGGCAATGAATCTTCTTTGGAACATCTAGATCAGGTCACTTCCTTGACCATACAACTTATGGGCAGAATCCATTTCCTCTCGTGGTTTCCATATGGTCTCCTCCAAGGTCACACTTTGTGCATGGTATTCCCACAGTAGACAGAAAATATTGAGTCTCACTGATAACTCAAAATTTCACTTGTGTTCCTTTACTGTCTATATAATTGAAAGGATTACTGGGTATTTTATCACCTTGTGGACTGAAATTCAAATCTGTTGCCAATTGTGAATTGGCAAATGAGAACATTAACATCTGTTGCAAATGAGAAATTAATAAGTAGGAGAAGGAATTAGGGACATCCAAATGTACCCATGAAGTTTTCATTACCCCAACCTCCATTTTCCTTCTCCCCCTCACTATCCCCATTGTCACCTCTGCAACCCTGGGGCCTTTAGATTTCCATGAAACCTGACTCTTTCCCTGAAAATGACCCTCCTAATTCTCTTCATTGCTTACCTAAGTCCATCAGGTGCATTTTAGACCTCTATACCAATAACCCTGTTTTACCTGATCCCAGAACCCTCAGCCCAAACCTCTTCCTCTTCCATGGCCCCCAGCTCCTCCATCCTCCATTTTTTCCTTCTGCTCCATTGCCATTTATATCACCTCTCCAGCCCCCATTTCAATGACTTTAGCCCATTTATGGTCTCTTTTATGTCTACTGCCCTCAATGTCCCAGCCGTCATTTATCATGAGTCCTTAGTTTCCTCATGACCTTGCACCCATGACCCCCAACTACTCCCTGATTTTTTCTCTTGGGTCTTTTGCCTTCTGTTACCTACTCTTCTCCCAGCTCTTATGATCTGCCTCCACCCACATTAACTCACTGTACCCATTATGTTCCTCAGGCATCATCTTTTCTTCCTACCCTTTATTTCTTTGGAGCACTGAATACTCTCAAAGGCCTCCATTCACCAGCAACTATCTCCCTTCTATCCCTATGTTCTGTTGCCCTTCATAAGCAGTAAAGTTTGTGTACCTTTTACCCAACTTTGTCTCCTGACTCCCTTTTGTCAATCATTTCCTTGCCCATTATCCCCTTCCTTCCCATGATTTCCTTCACCCTCTTATTCTCTCAATTCCCTCATTTCTTTAATGTCCCTGCATACGCCCCACCCCCAACCTCAAAACCTTTAATGCACTTTAACCCCTCAGTGACATTTAACTACCTAGTGCCTTTTGTGGATTACATAGTGTGCCTCAGATAAATATGCTTAAGTCCTAACCCTCAGTACCTGCAATTGTAACCATATTGTGCAGGAAGTACTTTGCAGATGTAATCAAGTTAAAATAAGGTCATACTGGATTTGGGTCAACTTTAACTCAATGACTGATAACCTTATAAGAGGAAAATTTAGACACACACAGAACTGTGTGTGATGATGAAGGCAGAGACTGAGTTATGGATCCACAAGTCAGGCCAAGCCAAGGATAGTCCTCAGAAGTTAAAAAGAGGAAAGACTCTGGTAAAATTCCCCAGGGAAG